GTGGATAGCTGGGGTAAGAGCCTTCCAGGCTGAGGAATTAACAAGTGCAATGGCTCTGGGAAAAGTGTCTGAAATCGTGCCACCAGGATATGAAAGGGTGGTAGGAGATGAATAGAGGTGGCTGGAGGAGGCCAGGTAACAGGGGCCCTTTGTGCTGGATACTCTCCTCTTATCCCTCCAGACCCACTCTCCACCCTTCTCTGCTGCCTGGGAACCTGATGTTCATGTACCATATCAATAGGCCCCCTTGACCTCTGGCTTCCTGTGAGATTTGGCCAGTGGAAAGCTCCTGCATTCAATCAGAAGGTAGGAGTCCTTAGTGAGGCTCACAGCTTCTGTCAGGTGACCCTCCCCAGCTCTGAGTTCCCTTGCAGTCTTCAGACTAGGGGTGGAAATGCCTAAGGTCTCCCCAAAGTTGCTAGCTCGAGGGAATCATAGGCAGTATGCCCTGTGGCTTCCCTAAACCCCACTCACATCTTTGTAGAACGTTCCTTTAGTAGATTCTCTCCAAATTCCTCAATGTGAGTATGACATCCATCTGTTTTCCACCAGGATCCTAACACTCCTTATAGGGCAAGATGAGGATTTTCAATTTTATTCTGAGTGAGATGGGAAACCACTGGAGGTTTTTGAACCTATGAGACATCATGTGACTTACATTTTATTTTTTAATAAAACAAAATGTGCGTGAGTAGGGGGCGCCAAGGGTGGGGGAGAGGGAGAGAAAGAATCTTAAGTGGGACTCCATGTTCAGTGCAGAGCCTGATGATGTGGGCTGAGATCTCATGACCCTGAGCCAAAATCAAGAGTTGGACACTTAAAAACAAAAAAAAGAGCTGGACACTTAACCAACTGAGCCACCCAGGCGCCCCAATAACTTACATTTTAAAAGATCACTCTAGATGCTGGATGTACAGAATGCCTCAGTGGGGCTCACAGGTGGAAAGAGAACAGTTAGGCAGCTTTTAGCAGTAAGGGTAGAAAGTGACTTGGGGTGGTTATGGTAAAGGTCCTAAGTGTTAAATGTTGGCATATGTTGTAAAGGTAGAGCTAAGAGGATTTGGTGATGAAGTATAAGAGAGAAAAAAGTCAAGGACTTAGGTTTTTGGTCTGAGGATAAGTTGCCATTTACTGAGATGGAGATGTCTGGGGAGAGAGCAGGTTTGGGCTGCAAAACTCAAGAGTTCTATTTGGGATAAAAAAAGTCTAAGTAGGGATGTTGAATAGGCAGATGCATATCTAAGGCTGGAGTTCAGACTGCGAAAGAAGAGATTGTTTTTAGACGTCTTGTAAAATACTTCTAAAACCACACATATGCATAACTTTGATTAAAAAATAGTAAGGTGGGGGGCGCCTCGCTGGCTCAGTCAGTAGAGCATGCAACTCTTAATCTTGGGGGTCCTTATGAGTTTCAGCCCCAAGTGGGGCATAGAATTTACTTAAAAAAAGATGAACAGCTGTCACTTGAAGGAAAGATGATTTTTTAAGTTGTTTTTTTTAAAAAAAGTAAACTCTATGCCCAACATGGGGCTCAAACTCACCAGGACCCTGAGGTCAAGAGTTCCATGCTCTACCGACTGAGCCAGCCAAGCACCCCAAAGAAATGATTTTTTTTTTTTTTTAAGATTTTATTTATTTGACAGAGAGACAGTGAGAGCAGGAACACAAGCAGGGGGAGTGGGAGAGGGAGAAGCAGGCTTCCCGCAGAGCAGGGAGCCCAATGCGGGGCTCGATCCCAGGACCCTGGATTCATGACCTGAGCCGAAGGCAGACGCCTAACGACTGAGCCACCCAGGCGCCCCAAGAAAAGATGATTTTTAAATGAAGAGAACAGTTCTTGAAGGAAACCTTCAAACCCTAGCTGCTCACATATGGGTAGATATGGACAAACAGTAGCATATGCTGTTTCCAACTGTGTCAGAAAAGATATTACAAAGAAAAGACATTTGGAAACTTGTTTAAAAACGATGAATAGGGGCGCCTGGGTGGCTCAGTTGTTAAGCGTCTGCCTTTGGCTCAGGTCATGATCCCAGGGTCCTGGGATCAAGCCCCACATTGGGCTCCCTGCTCCGTGGGAAGCCTGCTTCTCCCTCTCCCACTCCCTCTGCTTGTGTTCCCTCTCTCGCTGTGTCTCTCTGTCAAATAAAGGAAATGTAAGATACTCATTAATCAAATAAGTAAAACAGTATAACAAAATAAAAACAGTATCATTCTTTCAAAACCAATTTTGAAAGAATGCGAAGAAATGACATTCTCATGCACTTTTTGAGAACTTTATCAGACTTTTGATACATAGTTCTGCAAAATATACAAAATACAAAAGATACATGCCAAAGTTCCCATTCCTGTGAGTTTTTGAGACAACTACAAGGCAAATTACAGTAGGTGACACCTATGGAATTGCAAAACCAGGACATAATCAGTAAAAAATGATAATGGAATGATACATGTAGTATGATGTCCATGTACCAAGAATGTCTTTGTGAATATCTAAACAGGCAGTTATCTGAAGGAATGTTCACCAAATAAACTAAGTTTCTCTCTGAATGATTGAACTATTACCATGTATTAAGTACCTCATGTAATCCTCACAATAATTTAGATTCTTGAGATTTTACCCGCACAGCCTTTAAGTGGCAGGACTATTGCTGAAAACCTAAGTTTAGCCCCCTCTGCCCACTACTTAAAAGGACTGCATATGTTTTTACATTTTATTTACTATCAAGTATACTAATTTTTTAAGGCATTAAAAACTCCCACATGTGGTCGTATCTAATATTTGCAGTAATTCTGTTGGCTTGATGGCAAGAATCACAAATACACAAATACTTTTTTAAGTAGGCTCTGTACCTAGTGTGGAACCCAATGCAGAGCCCAAAGCAGAGCTTGAACTCATGACCCTGAGATCAAGACCTGAGCTGAAATCAAGAGTCGGCACACTCAACTGACTGACCCACCCAGGCGCCCCACAAATACTTCTTTTAATTAAAAAGAAACCTAGGTATGCTTTGAAACATCAAATGCCCACCACCTATTGATTACTTTTTGGTCCAGAACCACTAATACCATTTGCATCAATGCAACATTTGCATAGCTACCTAGGGATTGCAAAGGACCATGCTGGGAGTTACCTTGTTTTACTTGTTCATCACTCTTGGGAGATGTTTGCCTTATTAGTCAGTTTAATCCCTGGTTTATGATGGTTAGCCACTTCTAAGACATGAACACAAACACAGGGGATTTAAAAATCTAACACCAGGTAAGAATTAAAATACTTAAGACGGTTTCCCATTATTTGTGAGCCCGTGAGGAAGGGGGACTGAGTCAGCTTGCATACCCAGCACAGAGCACACAGTGCAGGGTAGATGAATATAGGAAGTGCCCTAAGGAATAAGATAAGTCACTTAGGGTCTGTACCCCCAGAGCACAGCACTCACAAGGCTATCAATGCTAGCTGATACTGGTCTCTTGAAAACAAGGGACTTTGCCTAACAGTGTGATTTCAAACTCATCTGATTATTGCTTAGGGTAAAACTTAAGAAGCTTTTTAGTTTACTGTCTTAAAATCTTACTCGTTCAAGACTTGCCTCTTTAAAAAAAAAAAAAAAAAGAATTTTATTATCTCAGAGCAAGTGAGCAAGCATGAGCTGGGCAGGGGTGCAAAGAGAGAAGCAGGCTCCCGGCTGTGGGGCTCGATCCCAGAACCCTGGGATCATGACCTGAGCCAAAGGCAGACACTTAACTGAGCCACCCAGGCACCCCAAGACTTGCCTCTTTTAAACAGGGATACCCACATACCTCATTAGGTTGTTTTAAAGAATAAATATTCTGAAAACACCCAGATGAATACATTTTAACGCATCCAGAAGTCACAAGGTTCAGTCACCTGAGTTCATCTCATAAACAGTTCTTCTGGTTCCCTCTGCTCCAGATAGAACTGTGCTTGTTGGGGCGCCTGGGTGGCTCAGTCGTTAAGCGTCTGCCTTCAGTTCAGGTCATGATCCTGGGGTCTTGGGATCGAGCCCCGTATCGGGCTCCCTGCTCAGTGGGAAGCCTGCTTCTCCTTCTCCCACTCCCCCTGCTTGTGTTCCTGCTCTCACTCTGTCAAATAAATAAAATCTTTAAAAAAAAAAAAAAAAGAAAAAAGAACTGTGCTTATTACTACCTGAATTCCTTCTTCCTCATCTTTAAGCCTCACCAGCAAGACTGGGATCAAATACCAGTTCTTCCTGAGGTCCCTCCATACTAAAGATGTTCCTCTTGCAGAGGAACTTATACTAGACTATACTACTATATACACTACCTGGATGACATTTATCACAGGTCCAGCTCAATTTTTTTTTTTTTAAAGATTTTATTTATTTATTGAGAGAGAGAATGAGATAGAGAGAGCATGGGGGGGAGGGTCAGAGGGAGAAGCAGACTCCCTGCTGAGCAGGGAGCCCAATGCAGGACTCCATCTGGGGATCATGACCTGAGCCGAAGGCAGTCGCTTAACCAACTGAGCCACCCAGGCGTCCAGGTCCAGCTCAGTATTAACATCAAACGTATCAAGAACACTTAGAAACGGGGTACGGGGGTGGCTCAGTTGTCTGACTTTGGCTCAGGTCATGATCTCAGGATCCTGGAATGGAGCCCTTAGTCAGGCTTTGCGCTCAGTCTGCTTGACCCTCTCCCTCTGCCTGGGCTCTCTCAGTAACTAAATTAAAATCTTAAAAAGAAATACTTAGAAACATTTTTGTCATGACATCAAAACAATTAAGTCACGACTTCCTTCTCTTCCAGTCCTGCCGCCCCCCTCCCCATTTAACAACCACCCATGAAGTTATAAACTGCTCAACTAGTTGAGCAGTGAAGGGATGGAAAAAGAAGGGTGCTATCTCATTGTTCCCTGTGGAATCACATGCTTCTCATTGTGCTAACACACTTCCACATCAAAAAAGATCAACATATATGAATCAATGATATGTTATTTTTAGGGAAAGAAATACAAAATATGCTTCTAGTTAGACAATAATTTTATTGCTTGAGTACATGGTCAAATTTATGCGACCAGGGCAGAGGCTGTGGATGACTCGCTGAAAAGGAAGAAAGGGAGAAGAAAAGCTCATTAAAATAGGTCCTCCATATTCATTCACAGACTCACACCTAATGGAGCTACTTCCAAACAGTTAAAATAAACCACAAATATATAAAATGCACGAAAATGCAAAGTTCCTGTATTAGTTCATTGTGCTCAAGCATAGGAATGAAGATGCCACTCATCTAAGGGAGAACTGGCTAACATAAGGAAAAGCCCTTCTGGTGGAAAACTGAATGTTTGGAAATTATTATAGTGAGCAATCTACGCAAAACTGAGGACAACATAAACACAGGGAGCAGAGGTATGAACTGAAACTCTACCCACCATCTAGAAGTGAGTCAAAGGGCTTATTCGTGTTTTAAAAATCAGGGATCTGCAAACCATGGCCCTTTGCTTGTCTTTGGAAATAAAGTTTCGGTGGACCACAGCCATGCCCGTTTGTTTATGTACAGTCTACGGCTGTATTCCTCCTAATAATGGTAGAGTTGAAAGGGCAGCTGACCACATAGCCACGACCTAAAACATTTACTAACAGGCCTTTTACTGCAGTTACTACTCTATTTACTATATGGCTAACGTCTGTTCTTATTAACAAAAAAGGTTAATACTTACTATTTCCAATTGGGGGGGAGGACTCGCTTAGTCTTATAATATCGAGCCAACCGGTGAATACGGCTCTCGATCAGAATCAGTCGGAATTTAGCATCCTTGTCCTAAAAATAAAAATAGACAGAATTCAAGAAAACCACTCAAAACAACATTATCAAATTTTATTTTAACAAAAGAATGTATAGCTACCATGCACTCTAATGAAGTTACCCAATGCCCTGTAATAGAATCACAGACTAGGGTTCATGTGGCTAGAATTAAGTCCTTAAGGGAATTTAAGGCTTCCAGAAATCTTAACATGAATGATTTGCAAAACTCTGCAAATAAAAAAAATAAAATACAGCAACAAAACTCTGCAAATAAACACCTCAACGTTTCCAACCAAATGAATATATTGCATCTAGTGGAGCAAAAGCCACTCCCCGCCCCAATTTCTTCTGGTAGAATTTATTTCAAAGCAACTGGAGTGTGACAAGTTGTGCTTTAAGCCTCTTTAGGTAATCTTCACATCAGATGCATTATACTTTACTGAAATAAGTTCATATAAGCAATTCTATTCTCTTACCTTTCTGTTCCTCTCAAGATGCTTTCGAACAGCAACAGCTTTCTTAATCAAATGGTAAAGATCCTCAGGAAGATCAGGAGCAAGTCCTTTGGACTTAAGAATTCTCAAGATTTTATTGCCTGTCACAAAACGTACTTGTGCAACACCATGGGAGTCTCTCAAGATCACACCTGAAAAAGGAGTAATATAAATTCCCCCACCAAACACACAGCTGAAGCATGTGATGTTAAAGCTCTGAGATCAAGTCATTTTCCAAGTTTTCCTCTGTAAAATGGGGTTACTTACGTATCACAGAAACCAACATGAGAATGCACGCAAAGCTCAGTCATCCAAGGTTGGTTTACCCAACACTAAGAAAAACCCTTCTGGAAGAAACTGTGAATGCTGGAAGACCATCACCACAGCAAACTTGCTGGATTACAGGCCACCAAAGAAATCAATGAGATTCCTGCTATGTATATTTACTCAATAACTAAAAACCCACCAGCATTTATTAAGAAATTGTATTAGACATTCTTGTAAAAACTTCATTATTTTTTAAGTCTCAGAATAGCACCATCTGAATACTTGACAGTCTATTACCTATTTCTTTTTTTTAAATAAAGATTTTATTTATTTATTTGAGAGAGAGAGAGAGAAACAGCATGAGAGGGGGGAGGGTCAGAGGGAGAAGCAGGCTTCCCGCTGAGCAGGGAGCCGGATGCGGGACTCGATCCCGGGACTCCAGGATCACGACCTGAGCCGAAGGCAGTCACTTAACCGACTGAGCCACCCAGGCGCCCTAAAGATTTTTTATTTATTTATTTGAGAGAGAGAATGAGAGACAGAGAGCATGAGAGGGAGGAGGGTCAGAGGGAGAAGCAGACTCCCTGCCGAGCAGGGAGCCCGATGCGGGACTCGATCCCGGGACTCCAGGATCATGACCTGAGCCGAAGGCAGTCGCTTAACCAACTGAGCCACCCAGACGCCCACTATTACCTATTTCTTATGGCCTGTAATATCCCTGGCTAGGCTATATAAGCTCCAAGAAGGCACATATTTTGCCCTTTTCCGGACTACTGTATTCTCAGGGTCCAGAACCACGCAGCAGGCAAACGTTTGCTGAATGAAACCACTTGCACAAAGTTACACATAACTGAGATTCACACCACAACGTAAGAGTACAAGTACTGTGAGCTGTCAATGCCAACTCCTCCACTTAATAGGTGAGTGATCTGGGGCTACTTGTATAGCTGCCCCATGCCTCAGTTTCCTCAACTGTAAGATGGCAGAAACTTCGCATTTCAAAGTACAGCGGTCAGAACGAAATGAGGTCAGTGTATGTAAAATGTTTAGAAGCATTCAGGTAGGAGAGCGCCAAAGCTCACAGTAAATACTCGTTATTATTTTGGAGAGCATTTTACTAATTTTCTCCTCTTCCACATAAGAACTTGCACTAGGCCCCGGTCATCAGTAATAAAGCCAGGGAAACGAGCAAAAGGTTTTCAAAGCACATAAGCGGCACATTCACCCCCAGCGACTTTTCCAGCGAGCTGCACGAGGGCAGGCGGAAGGAACTACGTTACACAGAAACACCCACCGATTTGTGAGGGAGTCAGGCCCTTCTTGGCCAGTTTGTAGATCTGCTCCTTCACGTCGTCAGACGTCAATTTCAGCCACTGTTTATGGAAAAGAAACTGGCCTTAGGACGAGAAACCAGGGATGGTACCGAAGTTCAGCCGTCCTCGCCATCCTCAGCGGCGCTCCTCAGGCACACACGGCCCCACCCGGCACCGCGCCTCCCGAGGGATGGACGGCGGCACCCCCCCCCCGACTTCTCCCGCGTCCCCGCACGCTACTTACGGTGGGGACGCTGCGGCGGTAAGGCAGAGCCGACTGGGACAGGCCCTTCCTGGGGAGAGAAAGAGTCTCCGGATGAGGTGGTCAGTGCCACAACAGCCTAGAAAATCATCCTCTCGACTCGCTGCCCACACGCTCTCCATTCCTCCCGACCCCGCAGCCCAGCCCTGCAACCCGCTCAGAAACCCGAACTCACCCGGGAGCGTGCATGCGACCCATGATGGCGGCGGTCAGGCAGCGAAAAAGAGAGCGAGGGTAGGAACGCCACAGGAAATCGCCCAGCACACAGGAAGTGACCTCACACACGTCCGCGCTCCTCGCGTGAAGGAGGCGGAGCTACGCTGCGTGGCCCCCGGCGCCGGCTGGCGGCATATCCCGAAGTGCACTTCAGGTTTGTACTGCAAGATTCCTCAATCGACAGGACTACACATCCCAGCATGCGTCAGTTTTTGAGGAGGCGCGAGGCCGGAGCGGGAACTTAAGACGGCGGCCCGCGGACTTTCTGGAGGAGCTGCCTGCGCTAAAATCGTGCCGGTTCGAGTCCCGGCCTGGGAGAGAGCGTGGAGCAGCTACGGCAGCAGGGGTTGGTGGATTTGGTCCCTGCCCTAGAAAGGCCGTTAATGTGCGACACCGCCGCTCAGCGAATTTGGGTGCCTGAAGTTCAACCACACACAATTGTTCATCCATTCACCAGCGCCAGGTCTTGTTTTGGGAGTAGCTACCTCAAAGTCTGTCCCTGCCCGTAATAAATGCACTGGTAAAATACCATGCTGATAAGTGCTATACTGGAAGTCACGGTAGTTACCGCCCAGCCACCGCTACGATTTCTTTTTTTTTTTTTTTAAGATTTTATTTGAGAGAGAGAAAGAGAGAGCACGCGTGCGGGAGCCGGGGGAAGGGACGAGCAGACACACCGCGGAGCAGGGAGCCCGGTCAGCGGCTCCATCCCAGGATCCTGGGATCATGACCTGAGCAGACGCTTAACCGACTGAGCCACCCAGGCACCCCCCATTTCTTATTTCTAATCCTAATTTAATCTCTTGGGGAGAGATTACTGACCACAGAGAAGAACCCAGGGATTTGAACTAGGCCGGGGCGGACCTCCTACCCACTACCTACCCCTCCACCTGGTAAACTTCCACCTTTCCCCTACAACGGGCTGTGCGGCGCTTGGCTGGGCACGGAGGCGTGTTGGGCGGATCCTCCTAGAGCTCCGTTCCCCAGTGAGAGAGACTGGCTAAGAGGGAAGAGTTTGGAAAACAAGATTGCAAAGGCAGGAGCTGGGTGTAGAGATTAAAGAAGTGTGGAGGATGAGAAAGAAAAACAAGTGTTGAACTTCCTGGCAAAAGAGAACTGCCCCTGAAACTTTAAGGATTGACTCAGTGCTGGTACGGAGAATGAGTTGAAAGAGTGGGCAAATGAAGGGGCTTGTTCAAAAAGCAGCGTGTCTCTGGGAAGGAGGGAAGTCAAATCAGGAAACGTCTGTCAATGTTTAAAGTAACTGGTCAGACTTAGAAAGTACTAAAACATCCACCTCCGCTCTTTCAACCTATCACTGATGAGTAATTTTCTTCTAAAGCATTAGGAATTCCATTCAAATTAGGTAATCTATTTTCTCCTAGCAAAGATGCATTCTTACCATTAGCCAAATTTACATCTTTAGTGCAAATATGGAACAGATATCTCAAAATGAACAAGGCTCCAATTCTTTTTTTTCTTTTTTTTTTTTCAAAGATTTTTATTTATTTATTTATTTGACAGAGAGAGACACAGCGAGAGAGGGAACACAAGCAGGGGGAGTGGGAGAGGGAGAAGCAGGCTCCCCGCAGAGCAGGGAGCCTGATGCGGGGCTCTATCCCAGGACCCTGGGATCATGACCCGAAGGCTCCAATTCTTAAGCCCCATCCCTAGCCACCTGCTCCAAACCCCTTGATTTCAGTCAAACACTAACCATTAGCTTAAACCACAAAACTTGGAATCTCGTCTTTTTTTTTTTGTCTTGTTCCCATTAAGAGTCATCTCAGCGGGGCGCCTGGGTGGCTCAGTCATTAAGCGTCTGCCTTCGGCTCAGGTCGTGATCCCAGGGTCCTGGGATCAAGTCCCACATTGGGCTCCCTGCTCGGCAGGAAGCCTGCTTCTCGCTCTCCCACTCCCCCTGCTTGTGTTCCTGCTCTCGCTATCTCTCTCTCTCTGTCAAATAAATAAATAAAATCTTAAAAAAAAAAAGTCATCTCAGCTTTACCACAAAAATATATCATGAATACATTTGCACTTCTCCATTCCTGCTGCTACTTCAATCCAAGCCACTATCATCCTTCATTTGGGCAACTCAGTGGTATCCCAGCTATTTTTGCTTTCACTCATGTCTCCACCTCAAACAAATGCAACCCATTTTCCACCTAGCAGTGATTTAAAAAAAAAAAAAAATATATATATATATATATATATTTTTTTTTTTTTTTAAAGAATTTATGTATTTGAGGGGCGCCTGGGTGGCTCAGTCGTTAAGCGTCTGCCTTTGGCTCAGGTCATGATCCCGGGGTCCTGGGATCGAGCCCCACATCGGGCTCCCTGCTCAGTGGGAAGCCTGCTTCTCCCTCTCCCACTCCTCCTGCTTGTGTTCCCTCTCTCACTGTCTGTCTCTCTCTCTCTTAAAAAATAAATAAAATCTTAAAAAAAAAAAAAAAGAATTTGTGTATTTGAGAGAGAGAGAGCTAGCCCGATCAGGGATGAGGGGGGTGTTGCAGAGGGAGAAGCAGGCTTCCTACTGAGCGGGGAGCCCGGGGCCGCACTCCATCCCAGGACCGCAAGCTCATGACCTGAGCCAAAGGCAGAGGACGCTTAACCAACTGAGCCACCCAGGCACCCTTAGCAGAGTGATCTTTATAAATTGAGGTCGGCCTGCGTGGCTCAGTCGGTTAAGCTTCTGCCTTCACTCAGGTCTCGATCCTAGAGTCCTGGGATCAAGTCCCACATGGGGGGGGGGTCCTTGCTCAGCAGGGAGCCTGCTTCTCCCTCTGCCACTCCCCCTGCTTGGGCTTGGGCACTCTCTGTGTCAAATAAATTAATAAAATAATAAAAACATAAATCAGATAATCTATTACTCCTCTGAGTAAATCACTCCTATGTTCTCAGTGCATTTAGAATAAAATCCAAACCCTTGATCTTGCCACACCCATTGGTTCTAAACACTCCAGCCACATTTACCTTTCTGACCCTCTGAGGCAACAGGAGTGTTCCTTTACTGTTGCGGTTGCCACTACCTGAACTGCTCTTTCCCAAGGTTTTCTCAGGTCTGCTTTTCAGATCCTGACCTCTAGGTCATCTCAAAAGAAGCCTTTCCTGAGGAAGACCATCTAAAGTAGTCCTCCCTTCCAACATAACATCCTATTATCTTCATAGTGCACAAATCTCTGACATTTTCCTTCTAGTTGTTTGGTTGTCAGCCTCCAAAAAAAGAAAAAAACCCGCTGACAATAGACTGACTGTTCATTGCTTTTTCATTGCCTCCAGCATCCAGAACAGTGCCTGGCAGGCAGGAAGTTAGGCACTCAGTAATTATTTGAATGAACCTGAATAATTTTTTTCCCCATTTGAAGATGTCTAGACTACTAACTTTATTTCAGGAGGCAGAAAATAGTGAGAATTAAGATTTGGCATACTAGGGGCGCCTGGGTGGCTCAGTTGGTTAAGCGACTGCCTTCGGCTCAGGTCATGATCCTGGAGTCCCGGGATAGAGTCCCGCATCGGGCTCCCTGCTCAGCAAGGAGTCTGCTTCTCCTTCTGACCCTCCCCCCTCTCATGCTCTCTATCTCATTCTCTCTCTCAAATAAATAAATAAAATCTTTAAAAAAAAAAAAAGATTTGGCAAACTAGACCAGATCACAATACATCTGTATGTGATTTGGATCAGGTCAGTTACTTAGTCACATGGGAGTTTAAGCCCTCAAGCATTGCTGGAATGATTTGCCTTGAGCCCCCTGACTTGCCATCACAGTTATGTCTTATAGTGGAATTGACTGAGGGATTGATAAAACCAACAGTAATGCTAGATAGATAGTTTTTTGAGAATGTCATTCTGGTTAGAAACAAGAATCATTAGAATCAGTTGCTAAAAAGACCATATAACTCTTCTAATAAGGAATGTTGACTCAAATATTCATGAAATAGGAATTATAACTGTTATTTCAGAGGGAGAAGCAGGCTGCAGGCAGAGGGAGCAGGCTCCCTGGGGACTCGATCCCAGGACCTTAGGATCATGACCTGAGCCAAAAGCAGCTGATTAACCGGCTGAGCCACCCAGATGTCCCATTCCACCAGTTTTTAATTCACCTTATCTGGCTGTTTGTAGATTCAGTAATATCAAAGGTAAAATGTAATGTGTGTGCTGAATGTTAATCAAATGGTGTTTACCTTCTATTATAGCATGTCCTATTGCCTTTTTTTTTTTTTAAAGATTTTATTTATTTGACAGAGAGACAGCGAGAGAGGGGACACAAGCAGGGGGAGTGGGAGAGGGAGAAGCAGGCTTCCCGCGGAGCAGGGAGCCTGATGTGGGGCTCGATCCCAGGACACTGGGATCACGACCTGAGCCGAAGGCAGATGCTTAACGACAGAGCCACCCAGGCGCCCCTCCTATTGCCTTTATATGTGGCATACTTTGAAATCTTTTGTAAATCAAAACCCGATTTTTTTTTAAAAAGATTTTACTTATTTGACAGAGAGCGACAGCAGGAATACAAGCAGGGGGAGTGGGAGAGGGAGAAGCAGGCTTCCCGCTGAGCAGGGAGCCCCATGTGGGGCTCGATCGCAGAACCCTGAGATCACGACCTGAGCCGAAGGCAGACACTTAACGACTGAGCCACCCAGGCGCCCCAAAACCTGATTTTTTTAAAGACAAGAATTCTATCTAAAAAGATTAACACAATTATTAAAAAAGGGGTTCAGTGATCAAATGGCTTTTAAGGATTGAACTTTTAAGATTTTATTTGAGAGAGACAGTGTGCGAAAGTGGGGGGAGTGGCAGAGGGAAAGGGAGAAACAGAATCCCTGCTGAACAAGGAGCCCAAGGTGAGCTTGATCCCAGGACCCTGGGATCATGACCTGAGCTTATGTCAGACACAACCAACTGAGCCATCTAGGCACCCCTAGGGATTGAACTTTTATTTAAAAAAGATTTTATTATTTGAGAGAGAGAGAGAGCACGAGTGCTCGAGCAAGGGGGGGAAGGGCAGAGGGAGAGAGAGAATCTTAGGCAGATGCCTTGCTGAGCGCCGGGGCCCGACAGGGCTCAATCCCACGACCCTGAATTGAAATCAAGAGCCAGATGTTCAACCAAGTGAG